ACCTAAAGAAAAAACATAATTTAGTTATTGCGCCTCTTACTTTTTCTGGAAAAATAGAACGTATACCTATTGGTAGAAAGTGTTCCATTATAACATGGCAGTCATGTGTCTTTAAACTTTTTAACTTGAGGTCTTTCATAGAAACAAGTCTTCTAATATCTGAAGAGTATCCTTCTGGAACTTTAACTTCACTCAGAAACTTACACAGTATCTTTTTCTCCTTTCTAGATAGAGTATAAGCAGCAGGTGGTAGATATGTGCGGTCTCCTTTCTTCAAGGGTCCTAATTCATTCCTTATTCCCATTGCTACCAAGTCCTTTCTTGCTTTAAGGCCATCCTTAGACTTTCCTTGTATATTGAGTAACGTACCAATAACACTTTCAAATACATTTTTTTCAATATACATAACATCAAGAAAATGTCTTACATACAACGACTTCCAATATGGCAACTCAAACAAAATTGACCTCTTCTTCCACCCACATGTGACAAGCGTATGAGCAAAAGGCTTGCCAAACTTAGTACTCACATCTTTCACCTTTTCAAAAATTTGTTCGCCGGTCAATGTAGGTGGAGCTTTACGTTGTTCTAAATCTCCATTGAATGCTTTTCTCCACCCACGGTAGACATGACTAGAATTTAAGAATCTACGATGACCAAGAAAGACATTCTTCTGACCAAATTCCAACCGCGTCCAATCTGTGTTTTCCTCACAGATAGGACATGCACATTGACCTTTAATGCTATACCCCGATAGATTTCCGTATGCTGGGAAATCATTAATTGTGCCAAACACCATCGCCCTCAAATTGAAACTTTCTTTCCTATATCCATCATAAATCTCCACACCGTTCTCCCACAAACTCTTTAAGTCTTCGATTAGAGGTGTCAGGTATACGTCTATGTCATTCCCTGGTTGTTTAGGGCCAGAAATTAACATAGATAACATCATGTACTTACGCTTCATACATAGCCATGGAGGTAGGTTATAAATCATAATAATTACAGGCCAGGTAGAATGTGAGATACTCTGCAGACCATGCGGATTCATTCCATCAGTCGATAATGCCAAGCGAAGGTTTCTAGCTTCTTCTCCAAAATCAGGATAATCATTATCAATTTTCATCCACTGTGGTGAATCTGCCGGATGTCGATACTTCCCATCTACGATTCTATCATCTACATGCCAAGTCAGGTGTTTTGCATCTGTTTCACTACGAAACATGCGTCTGAATCTCGGAATTATAGGAAAATACCATAATACTTTTGCTGGTGACAATTTTTTCTTATACCGAGATACACCACATTTAGGAAACTCGTTTAATGATGCATATTCATTTCGAAACAAAATGCAATCATTTGGACAAGCATGTATCTTATCATAGCTCATGCCAATAGAGCATAACATTTTTTTAGCTTCATAGGTTCGATTGGGAAGAACATTATCCTCTGGAAGCATCTCTTGAAGTAGGGCTAACAACTCTGTGAAACTTTTATCCGACCATCCATTACCCGCCTTTAAATTGTACAACTTTAATACCGCGGACAATCTTGTGAAAGTAGTGCAACCTTTATACAACGGTTTCTCTGCATCGCTTACCAACCTCTCAAACATCTTGGAACAGTCTTGAAGATCTTCTTCAAGTGCTTCTGCAATCTCTTCGACTCGATCACAATCATATGTATCTCTGCCATTGTCCTTTGAAGCACATGTCGTATTATTCCGGGGTTCAACATTCTCGTTACTTATCTCACCATGTAATGTCCAACATGTGTAACTTCGGTCAATTCCATGTCTCATTAAATGAGATTCCAACTGAACGGCGTCAACTCGACGCCCATAACAGCATCCTAAGCAAGGACATGTGATCCTACTGGGGTCTTTGGCGTGTTCAACAGCAAACTTAACGAACTTCGATACCCCATTCTCGTACTCTTTTGACAATCGATTACCAGACATCCATTTTTTTATCCATACTAATTGAGTAATCTACACTAAACTATAAAAGTTAAACAAAACAGAGAATACCTATAAGGAAATCACTAACTTCTAAGAATGCTACGCAATAGGATGCTTGGAAACGATCACAGCTTTGCTCTTCACAGGTAACCCGTATAGCAGACAAAATATAAATTTTATTAAAATCATATTAATAATTAACCAAGACAAATCATATTAAAAATACTAGATAATCCACCAAAACAAATCATATTAAAATTACTAGATAATCCTTAAACCAAAATGACACCCTTACTAAACATTGAGAAATCCTAACTAAACATATAAAACCATAATAACATATATATCATATAAACATTGAGAAATCCATCATAATAACATAATAACATATCAACATATAAAACCTTCACTAAACCTTCAATAAGTCATTTCTACACAACAACAACACTAAAATTTACTTGCATGCATGTCCTCAAACCTTCAATACAAAACAACAATATACGTATCATACTTGAACGCAACAACAAAAATAATTACTCAACAACAGTATACGTTATCAACACTAAAATTTACTTGCATGTCCTCAAAAGAAACATATCTACACAACAACAAAAACAATAGTATACCAACAATGGTGAAAAGAAAAACCATCAATATTTAGATAACAAAAACAATAGTATACCAACAACAAAAACAATAGTATACCAACAATGGTGAAAACAAATATTTAGAAAAACCATCAAATACCAACAATAGTGAAAAGAAAAACCATCAATATTTAGATAACAGTATTAACAAAAACCTTCAAAACCTTTAATGTCTTCAGATATCAACAATGGTGAAAAGAAAAAAAAACAAGAAAATCCCTTGAAACTGTCACATACCTTAACAATGGTGGAAATGCAACGGACGGATGCACTCGAAAACGGACGGTGAACGGACGGCGGGCGACGATCGGACGGCGGATGACGGCACTTGAATAGGGCAAGTTCGTTCGCCAGAGGAGAAAGACAGAAGAAAAGAAATGTACGCGACTGTTGTGTTTCTCTTAAAATTTTGGAGGGTATTTAAAAATTATAATACTAATACCTATAGCAGCGCTTTTAAAGGCCTTTAGCAGCGCTTTTAAAAGCGCTTTCTTAGGGTGCCTTAGCAATGCCATATAGCAGCGCTTTATAGAAAAAGCGCTGCTAAAGGGCCCCCTTTAGCAGCGCTTTTTAAAAGCGCTTTCTTATGTCCCCCTCTAGGTCCCCCTTTAGCAGCGCTTTTAAATGCCTTTAGCAGCGCTTTTAAAAGCGCTTTCTTAGGGTGCCTTAGCAATGCCATATAGCAGCGCTTTATAGAATAAGCGCTGCTAAAGGGGGATACCTTTAGCAGCGCTTTTTAAAAGCGCTTTCTTAGGTCCCCCTTTAGCAGCGCTTTTTAAAAAGCGCTTTCTTAGGGCCCCCCTTTAGCAGCGCTTTTTCAAAAGCGCTGTCTTAGGTGGGAAATTTTTTTTCTTTTTTTTTTGCCCACCATTTCTGGCGTAGTGCGGAGATACAACGTTAGACAGAAGGAGCACAACAGAGGGAGTAGGGTTCAGTGGTGAAAGATTGAGAGAAAACGACGGAGGGAGCGCGAGAGAGAGAAAGAAAGAAATATTGAAGTGTGAAATGAAATAATGAAAAGTCCGTTTTATTTTTAAAAAACTAAAGACCTATAGCAGCTCTTTCTAAAGCGCTTTTAAAACCCCCCTATAGCAGCGTTTTTTCCTTAAAAGCGCTTTCGTAAATCCCACCTTTAGCAGCACTTTCTAAAGTCTGCCTATGCCAGGACCTTTAGCAGCGCTTTCTAAAAAGCTCTTCGTATCCCCCCTATAGCAGCGCTTTTAGAAAGCGTTTTGATATCCCCCATATAGCAGCGCTTTCAGTAAGTGCTTTCGTATCCCCCATATAGCCGCGCTTTCATAAAAGCGCTTTCTATAGTATTACAAAATAACAACCTTTAACAGCGCTTTTTGAAAAGCGTTTTCTAAAGCCTGTGATTTTTTCTTTTTTTTATAAATCTTTTAGCAGCGCTTTTAAATAAAACGTTGTCTTTGCTGCGCTGCCAAAATTCATTTTTGCCGTAGTGAGAAGCATCATTGTATTTGTTTACTTAAACTTCATCATCTACACATTCAAAAAACTATCAAGTGTATCACAAATTCAAAGTATAGCACGAATTCACGCACGTAGAACAAAGAGTCCTGAGACTAGTTTGGCCGATCCCGCAAGGAAACCCGCGTCAGGAGGTCAGAGGTTGTCCGCGCGAAAAACTCATGCGAACAGTAACATAAGATTCAAGGATAAATATTTTATCACAAATGCACTTTGTAACATAGATTTGAGGATCCGTTCTGATATTAAGTGGTTTCAACCCTCTTTCGATCGCAGTTTCAAGAGATTGAATTGTGGTTCTCCATATCAAGTTTGGCGCCAATTACTACTGCATCAACTAACGATCGATAGATTAGTGTTATATTTTATAATTTATGTATTCCATTAATATAATCATTTCACTTATTTAACTGCTATTTTATTAATATTTAATTATGTTCTATAAGTGATTTTAATCACGGTATAATTATAAATAATTTTTAATAAAAAATATTTATTTATTTGAATTTTTAAAAAAGATAATATATGAAATATAATTTGTTGGTGATTCAAATAATTTTATATACCTGTAATATATATTATTAGTCCAAATATTTGTATTGACAACCGGCCTCAATCTAACAAGACCTTAGAACGTTCTCATAAAAAACGACAACATGTCTTTTATTCAATTGAGACCACGCTGTGTGTGACTGTTTTTAAAGGAGTGTAGTATTCAATTGCGGCCACACTTACTGCGTGCAAACATATTTAAAGCATATACTTGTGATCGATCATAGAAAAACGCAAAAGACAATAAAGTTATACATTAAAGGAAAAAAGTCAAAGAAAAGAAAAGCATGTTAGATAATGTGAGATTGAGAAAAAGCAAATTGAAGAAGAAAAAAAAAGAGTGAGAAAAAATGGTGAGCGAAGGAGCAATTGTAACATCAGCAATGGTTACAGCTCAGTTCCTAGAAATGGGTGGTAACACTCTATTTAAAGCAGCCACCAATGATGGAATGAGTATTTATGTTTTCATGTTTTACTCAAACCTTTTTGCTCTATGTTTTCTTCTACCTTCCACTCTTTTCTACCATAGAAAAAGAGCTCCTCCTCCTATTTCATCATCAATTTACTGCAGATTGTTTCTTCTCAGTTGCCTAAGGTATCAACAAACAAACAAAATAACAAACAAATTGACGCAGTATATGCAAAAATATTCATTATTTCGTTTGATTGACATGAGCAACATATTTGTGTAGTACTTTAGTGCAGATTTTGATGAGCACTGGAATTAGATGCAGCTCTCCCACGTTGTCATCCGCTATGGTTGACCTTGTCCCAGCTTTTACCTTCATACTTGCTGTAATTTCAAGGTTTGTCTTTTCAATTTTTATGTTATGTTATTTAGCAAGGTCCATATGTAGAGCCAATTTTGGAGAAACAAGATAAGAAGTAAGTGGTTTCAGTATTAAGATAGAAAAGCAAACTTTTTCCAACACAGTGAAATTAAGATACGCTAGTAACAAAATTACTAGGCCGAATCATGACATTATTCTTTGTGAGAATGAAATTGAATTAGATAATTATGTTTTTAAAATTGCAGTTACACTAATTTTGTGGAGAGAATTATTCCACAATTTATAACTCTTGTATAAAATGAATATTTAACAAGAATGGCTATATTAGAGGAAATTAAGAATGTAGTCAATAATATGAATGATAATTCTTCTCTGGGTTATGATAGCTTTGGACAATGTTTTTTTTCATGCTTATTGAGATATTAGAGAGATCGGTTTGATCAATTCTTTGAAAAAGTTTGGATCATTTATAATCTCAACTAAGTCAATGTGATTTTGATACCTAAACAAAATGGATTAGATTCTATTGAGCAATATAGATCTCTTCCACTTGTTTATTTTCAATTCAAAATCATCACTAAGATTATTGCAAATAGATTGACCATCTCAACTCCTAATTTTTTTTCAGAGCACCAATAGACTTCGTTAGGGACACATATATTTATGAGTGCATTACGATTACTTCAGGAGTCATTAATATGTTAGACAAAAACTCTTTTGGAGGTAGTATGGCTTTGAAGATAGAAATTAGAAAAGCATTTGATACTTTAGATTGACAATATTTTATTAAAAATTATTATTCAATTTGTCTTTGATCAAAAGTTTTGTGATTGGATTCTTACTATTCTTCACTCAGTCAAATTATCGATCATGATAAATGGAAAAGTTGAAATATTTTTTTCTTGCTCTAGAGGAGTGAGGCAAGAAGACCCTATGTCTCTTTTGCTATTTTGCATTGCTGAAGAGAACCTTAACAGGCAATTAATTATATATGTTAGTGGATCAGGGAAAGTTGACAAGCCATAAAAACTATCTAATTGTGAAAAATAGATGTTGATTAGTTCTGAGCTTCTACATCAATTCCATTTTTTTCCTACAAACTCATCATCTACCCACGTATTAAATGTGTGTAAGTTGCCACGAAAAATAAGTAAAGGTGATTTTTATAACATTTCATGTCAATGATAGCTACCACATCATACATTGCTCATTACCATCATGCTCTTATTGTCAAGAAACAACACAAACAACATAAACAATTCAAATTGGGTGGAGGTACGCATAGCAAGACAAAATCAACACAAGGTATCTAGAAGAAGAATTTGGACGACAAGAGGTGACAAGGAAGTTGTTGAAGAGGGTGGGATAATCTTTTCTTTCTTCTTCACTGAATTTCCAGAGGGTCATGAGGCCAAGGATATGTTTGAGGTCTTCAAGGAACATGGTTTGGCGGTGGAGGTAGTAATCCCTCCTAAACATGACAAGTGGGGAAGGCGTTATGGATTTGTAAGATTCAAGAAGGTAGATGATGAGAGAGTTCTGACCATTAAACTTGATAACATTTGGATCAATGGCAAAAATATTTTCACCAATGTACCTAGATTTCAGAGGAAGCTATCGGAGGTCCAACATGGAGGAGGAAACTTGTCTAAGAGGAAGGATTATTTGGTAGAGACTCGCATATTTGTAGGGGTAAAACAACCATAAACCAGACCTGAGGCTTCCTACGCGTAAGTACTTGGTGGAAGGAGATGTGAAGAGGTTGCGAAATATGGTAACCATGATAGAGGTGTGAAACAAGTGTTTCAGGGGAGAGGGCCAAGGAAGAAACAAGATAAAATGAATTAAGTTCTGTTGAGTGATAAGCCTTCATTTGCACACCTTCAATTCAATATCCAAAAAGAAAATTTTATTAGGTTTGAAAGAGCATATGTAGGTATTGCTATACAACGACAGCTTCTTTGAGATGGTTATAAGAATTCGCGTGGTATCACTTGGGTAAGCTGGAGGGTCATTTGTAGGGGGGAGGATGATGGCGGTTTAGGAGTCAAAGATATCGGTTTATTCAACAAGGCGTTTTTAGCTAAGTGGTTATGGAGATCGTTAGAAATGAAAATGATATTTGGATGGGGATTCTCGAAGGAATATATGGAAGTTTGTCCAAAACAATATTGTCCAAAGACATGGATAGCAGTAGCAGATCATCATCTCTATGGTGGAAGGACTTAATGCAAATTCGGGCAGGCGCATGACTAGTAGATTTTGTTGATTTGTTGTCTCATAAACTTGGAAATGGAACCCGTGTTCTTTTCTGGATGTCAAACTGGATTGGTGGTTTCCCTTTGCAGACAAGGTGTTAGAAACAGTGGTAAAGTATCGGGGTTTGTTATCGTCTCCACAGGGAATTTGTGATATTGCCGCCGTTCGACAGTTGTTAGGTTCTTAACTTATAGTAACAAGGGAGGTTTTGGTTTTTTGTCACGGTAGCTTGCATAAAAAGAAGTACTAAATTACGGTAAAAGTTTTGGTTTTATGATTTGAGAAATATTGTCAAAGTTAGGGTTCGACAATCACTTTGCATGTATATGTTCGATCAACAAAACTCATAAACTCCGTTAGATGATAAACACTTTCACAATATCCTCTCAATATGTTTATTTCTGACACACATTGTGATTTTTCCCATTTTGATCCATTGTTGATTTCTCACACAATCTATCAAAATGACAACTTTTAGGTTTTGATATTTTAGTGAACAACCACATTCAAGACTATCTCTAGCTTAAGAAAATAGATGGATGAAAACCTAGGTAAAGAGTTGGAAAATACCTTTCAATAATAAACCAACACAAAGAGTTAACAATAAAACAAAATTTTCACCATATATTCATCATCGAAGAGTTTACAAATGAAGATCATCCCATTTACATACAAAGCTTATGATCATCTACATCTAACCTTGACAAAATGAAGGACTTAGCTACTCATTTTCATGGTAGCTTGCACAAGAAGTTTCGGAAGACGGTTGATCAACATTCGAGTCGAAGAATCGAGTTTGGATGAGAATCCACCTTCTTTTTGGAAGATCTTGTTAAGAGATGAAGAATAATGTGTTATTGGGTTTCTAGGTCACAAATATCTCTCTTGGAGAAAAACAAAACAAAAGTGCTTGAAAAGAAACAGAAAAAGATATTTTTACAAAAAGTGGCACTTGCTACTTATAGAAAAAATATGTATTGTCCTGTCTTGCTCGCTAGGCGAGCAGAATGGTTCGCCTAGCGAGCCCTTCGCGACCTCCTTCGCTCCAGCGAGTTCTGGACATTTTGGTTCTGGAAGCACTCGTTAGCAGCTCGCTACGAGCTCGCCTAGCGAGTAGTTCACTACCTTCCTTGCTCCTGGCAAAATATGACCAATTTGATTATGTCCAAGTCTGGGAGTGTTCGCTAGCAGCTCGCTATGAGCTCGCCTAGCGAACAACTCGCTACCTCTCTCGCCAGAGCTTCGCCTAGCGAGCTTGCTTTTGCTTGCCTTCTTCCTTGATTCCCTTGTCAACTTTCTTGTGTCTTCCAATTCTACTATTTCATGCCTGATTTCTGCATATTAACACACACATTAAAGGTACCAAGCTCATTTCACCATATATTGCAACTTAAACAAAAGCAAGGGTGATTTTAAAATTTTCTGGACAAAACGGAGTGAAAGATGCCCACATCTGATAGCTCAAATAAGAAATATTGGGCATCTAACACAAGGTTTCCTGGTTTATATAATAGGTCCAATAAGAAATTGGGGGTTTTCAATGAGTTTGGTTGTTAGATCGCAGGTGTTTGGCGATGGAGTTTAGAGCCTTTTAATGCTAATGATTGTGTGGAGCTACAACAGGAGTTGTTAGATTTGGCTGGCCTTCTTTCAGAGATTTCCCTTTCTAATATGGTGAAGGATTATGTTATCTGGTTGTATGATGCGTCGAAGAAAATTACTTCAAATCATATTACAGCAAGTTGTTGTCATCGCAAGAATATGGGCTATTAGAGAATGATACTAAGGCTACTCTGAATTTGATTTGGAAAGGCATTGCTCCTTTGAAGACAAAGGTGTTTGCGTGGTGTTTATTATTGGATAGGTTTCCGACTCGTCGAAACTTGGTGCAGCGCGATATTATATTGAACCTTCATGATTGGGTATTAATGTTTTGTTTTAATTTGGAAGAAGATGCAGAACATTTCTTTTTAACTGTTACAAAACACATCTGGTTTGGAATAGCATTTGTGACTGGCTTGAGGTGAATGAAATTCTTGGGGGAGTGGGTTGTTTTCACCTTCGTGCGTGGTGCATTAATTTGAAAGGAAAGGTTGGTTTGTCAAATGCGGTTGGGTTGTGGATTATTGTCTGTTGGTGTATCTGGCTGGCGCGAAACCAAATTCTGTATAATAATGAAATAGCCAATCCAGATCTTGTTGTGCAGCGGATTATACTTATTTCTTGGTGGTGGTTATGCAAGGAACGTAATCATAATTTTAATTGTAATTACTACGAATGACGTAAATTTCCTTGGACATTCTTATAGCTTAGGCCTTAGTGGTGTTAGTCTATTTTTTGGTTAATTACTATCTGTTCATTGTATATGGGTTGGGATACCTCTATTATCCCATTGGGAATCAATTATTGCTTATCCAACAAAAAAAGGGAAAGTTGACAAGCATATCACTTGTTAAGACAACCATTCCTAGCCACCCATTTTTTTTGTAGATGACCTTATGATATTCTGCAAAGCTACTAGGAAAAATGCATAAGTCATTAATCATCTCCTTCAGGAATATGGTCAAAATTCTTGTCAACACATTAGTCTAAATAAGTGTAAGCTTTATGGTTGAGGTAGTTCTGGACCTAGGTTAAGGCATATTGTAGATATTCTTAGATTCATTGTGAGACAAACACCATTTAACTATCTTGGAGTTCCTATATTCAAACGTAAGCCTATAACTCATTATCTCTATATCATAGTAGATAGAGTATTCCCCAAGCTAACTACTTATAATAGCCATCTTCTTTCTATGGCCAGTAAGGTTCAATTGATGTAGTCAGTCATATAACACATGTTTTTGTATAGTCTTAAGATTTATTACTAGTAAATCAATATTCTTAACAAACTGGATTCTTCCATCAATAAAATTGTATGGATAGGTAGCCTAAACAATACAAAGATGATTACTACATCTTGCAAAGTTATTTGCTCACCTTTTTCTAAATGAGGTCTTGGTCTGAGAGATACTAAGACAGTAAACAAAGTCGGATGATTATCTCTTTGTTGAAAGTTGTTGACTATCAATAATCAATGGTCTTCTATGCTCATTATTGGATACTTCATACACATAAAAAACCAATCATGCATCATATTACTTTTTCAATATGGTCTCACATAAAACATTCATTTTCTTTTCTAGAGGAAGGTAGTAGATGACATGTTGGTAATGAAAAGGACATTAATTTATGGTCTGGCAATTAGTTGGGATACAAAATTAAAGATTTACACCTAGTATGTCAATGGATATTCAATTTATCCAAACTACTAAGATCAATTCAATTATCCAAGATATAAATTGGAACATTCCTCATGGCTATACATTTTGAATCCTCACATTGTTGAAGACATTTAAAAGTTTAACTTGTCATATGATAATACTACTGGTGATGAACTCATTTAGACAAGATCTGTAAATGGCGACCTATCTTTGTAAATACCTTCTACTAAGTCATTAGTGACTTGAAAGCTAATGCATAATGTTGCAATAAAAGACAACTTGATTTGAAGGGTAATGCATATGGTTTCAAGGCACTATCTCTACAATCATGATGTGGAAATCACATACCATCTATTTCTTATATGTAAGTACACCTTACTTTTTTGGAATTAGATGAATCGATTGTTTAGCATGAACATTGATATAACTAGTTATGGAGTTTATTCAAACTTGTAAGTAGAAGTTGGAACTCTCAAATTCAAAATTTGATCATGAATCTCATCATAATAATATCATATTTCAAAATGGTCAAATTGTCTTTGATAGTGACATTATTCATGCTAAACAATTGGAGTATATGACAAATACTTCTCTCAAGTGTCACATGTACTCTTTAACTCACGAGTTTACAATTATTAAATGCTTTGACATCAAATGTCGACCTCCTCTCACACCTAGAATCATACAAGTTAACTGATACTTTCCTAATTTATGGATAATTTAGAAATATTCTTTGGAGCTTTTTCAACTAAGATTGGAGTTTGCATCTCCTTTCAAGTTAAATTGCATGAAATAATATTTGCTATCAAATATGCTAACATAAGGAATTGTAGAAATCTTTGGTTTGAACTGACTCAATTCTGGTCATTCGTGCATTTTCTAATGTGAATATTTTCCCTTGGAATATTTAAATAATGGAATAATACTTTAAACACTGTATGTTCCTTTAGATTCAAGATATCTCACATTTTTTCAAAGAAGGAATTGCATGTGTAGATAGAATAGTCAGGGCAGTTTTTTTTTCTTGATTATGACACTTGGTATGATTCACTTCCTATTTTATGGATAGGTTTGACGTGTTAAACTATTGTTTTTCCAATCTATTTGATGACTTAAGTTTAATATCTCTCATTATTTTTGTTTTTTTTTATTTTTTATTCAATAATTTTCCTTTATAAAAAATTTAAAATATGTTTAGAATTCAAATTTGGAAACTAAAAAAGAATTGAACTTTATGAGTTTCTGATAATCAAAAACATATTTAATCTTTTAGGATGGAAAATCTAAATTTGAAACAGCATAGCAGCCAAGCTAAAATTATTGGTACAGTGGTGTCCATAGCAGGAGCATTAACTTTGACATTATATAAAGGAATATCATTGATTAGTGATGCATTTCAAAATATCAAAATGGGAGCAAGTGATACGTACCTGACAGAGAATTCACAATGGATACTTGGTGCTTTTATTCTTGCCACTGCTAGCTTTTGCCTTTCTGTTTTATATATTGTCCAGGTAACTAAATAATTTGAATATTCCTACTACTACAATGATATTCTCTCCAATATATATATATATATATATATATATATATATATATATATATATATATATATATATATATATATATATATATATATATATATATATATATTTCATGATTATTAACAACATCTATTATTTTTATAATAATAACTCGAGAGTATAGTTTAAATATATCTTAGCATATTCTCTATGTAATTACTATGATGAGCTGTATACTTCACCATATAATACAATTTTTGTAGTGTTATGTAAACACACAGTTTATTTAAATGTCTCTTAGTCTCTCGTACTTTAACATGGTATCTAGAGCCTACTGAGAGGCAATCCTTCACTGTGCTTTACCCGGTTGACCCACTGTTTTTTGGTGAGAATTTTTTTTGACAAATTGTATCCTAACTCCAAATTGCCTTACATCCACTTTCATCACTTATTCCAACATCAGTTTTCAAAATTCTTCAATCACCACCGCATTGGCGCCACTGCCGCTAGTGATTCCAACAACTTTCTGGCACATCATCCCCACAGACAAAAGTGTCTACTCTGATTCGACCTATACCAAGGAAATTGTCATAAACTGCATTCGCAAGCGCCCATACAAGATGCTTCTTCCTCTGTGCGTGGACCTAACTTGCCACCATTCCCCTCCGTGCATGACAGCGTGTCCCACCTCTAATTAAGACACCTCCTTTGTTGTCATACTCAATTTTCCGTCAAGGGTCCAGATCTGTACTAAAATATTTTTTCTCATCTAAGTAAATACGACATCTTGTTCAAACAAACCCTATTTCATCTGGTTTGTGTGATATTTCTCTTCCTTCTGATACCCATGGAAGGTTATGTTGATTCCATGGTTCGAGTAGTATTTTCACCAATTATGTCAGCTCTCCACTCCCAATAGAAAAGTTAACAAGATCTAATTATGATAGTTGGGCCGGTGATATCAACTTATGAATGCATGGTCAAACCTACAAGGATCACCTCACAACAAAATCTAACATTGTGGCTGTAGTTGAAAAGCCAAAACGAGAGCAGATCAATGTTTAAATATGCAGTGTAATCAAGTCCACCATTCATCCTGATATTAAACCGATCTTTCATCCCTATATGATGTGTGAATTAGTTTGGACGCAAGTAAAGCAAATTTACACGAATGACACTCAACGGTTTTATGGAGTGTGTCATAGATTATTAAATATCATTACTTTGAAGAAGATTAAAGGGTCAATGTCAACATATATTGGTCAAGTGTACAACGCACTCCATGATATTAATAAGCTTCTACCTTAATTTAGATGCACCACATTTTAACAAGAGAAGTCATGTGAACAACGTGACATCCTCCTAATGCTTATTGCTTCACATGGTTTGCCTCTGGAGTACTCTGTCATTCGTGATCGGATTCTGAGTTCTTCTATGGTACAAAATCTATCTGCTTGAATGCATGGTCAAACTTACTGAAGACTTCCCTGCCCCTGGTTGAGATTCACGGTTTTATGCATAGAAAGAAACTTCTACTCCAAGGACCAAAGGGGTTGACTAGGGATTATCTTCCTTATACCTATGGTGTTTGGAGATTTGAACAAATGCCTTACATCATCACCAAGGTTTTATTCAAAAGCATACAAACAGTGATCTCGTGTCTTTTTGATTTCATCATTCTCTTTTGATTTTGCTTGATCAAATGTGTGATATTGACATATAAAATATGAGTGAACACGAATGGATTTATTCAAAACATGCATATTCATTATATTATTATTATCATTAAAAAAAACAAGTTTTACAAATAAACAGTGCTTGACAAACAAGAAGGAGTACAAATGAAGAAATTGAAATGCAAAATGGTTACTGGCATGATTAGCCTTTGTATCCACCATAGACTGGTGTCCTCTGTTTCCTTCTTTGATTTTTTTTTGGTGCACTTTGTTGACTTAGCAGAACCTGGCCTTAAGGAGGCCATTGATATTGGGTTGCGACAACACGTAAGAATGAGTAGTACGGCGTGAGAGCTAGAGGAGCTTGGAAATGAGGATGAATATGATGAGTAGCATATTATGGGAACACTTGAGCAGGGTACATCAAGTCAGGATTAACCATCCGATTAGATTTCTTACCAAATTGGGTCCCATATGGAGCGTTGGGTGCCCCAGGATAAGCAAGTGGAGGCACAACAGCCAGATGTACCCCAGAATAGACAAAAGACATTCTTGAGTTAGCAGACTGAAAGCCTCAGTAAGGGCCTCACCCAACAGGTTGAATGGCTGGAGGAATCTGCACATGAGTAGGAAAACCATTATTCTTTGCCTCAGCAGATGTTTTGACAATCACATGTCCAGAATTCTGGTAAGGTTTCTTTGTAAAGGATAACAACTTCTGATCGAGGAGCTCTTGAAATTTGTTCTTAAAGATGATATAGGCTTCTGTAGAGTGCCCCGCATATTCGGCATGGTATCCACATGTGGCATTAGGATCATTCCTAGGATGGTAGGGAAACTTGGTTGGCTCGATCTCTTTGGGAACAATTTCCCCAGTATGGATCAGATATAAGACATGAGAATTGGATCAAATCAAGGATGTCTCCTCCCTTGATTGTTGTTCCCTTTGTTGATTTCCTTCTGCTTTTGTTTCTGATTATCTTGAGTGGGCTTCTAATTAGAATATGAGTAAACCTGCAGATTGCTTGTAGTTGCATTCGTGATTTTATCCACCTCTTGTCCATTCTCAGCTTGTTCATCAATCACAACCTGATTAGAGATGTTCATTATCAAACTGTCTAGAAGTAGTTCCATAACAATGTCAACTTTGCCTTCCTTGCATATTGTGTTCTTATACCTAACCTGTTCGATGATTCTTTGGCTTTCGGTGTCGAAGAATCGTTGTCTTTGGGCTGATGAAGGGAAGAAGGTGAGCTTTTTCTAGTTTTTATGTATGCCTATGTTGCAGATGTAAATAAGATATGTAACATCCATTGATTCAAAGGTTTGATGATGCAATAGTTTCGGTTCAAAAGTTTAGCATATATATATGGAGGAAGGGTGCTCACCAAGATCTCGTGATCTTGTGCCTAGGTATCCTCATAGTGTAATATGGAAGTCGGATCTTCGTAGTTCGGGGAACCAAGGATGAGAAAAGGAGAAGGCAGGAAATAAATTATAGAAGAAGGTTTCTCGCCAAGACCTCGCAATCTTGTACCTACGTATCCTTATAGTGCAATGAGGAATTCAGAGCTTCGTATTTCAGGGAACTAAGGAAACAAGGAGCAATGGAAGGGCAAAGAGTATAGGCAAAGGTGTTTTAACCAAGACTCGATGGTTAAGCCAAGGAAGAAGGGAAGAGAGAAAAAACTCTGCTTAGAGGAAAAAGATACTCCACTCAGGAAGAAAGGGAATCGACCCTGGATGGGGAGCAGGAAAAATGGTCTTTTAACTGACAGGCAGTGTTTAACCAAGGAAGAAAGGATCACAAATTTGTTGAAGAAAAAGGTTGGTGTTAACGGATAGAATATGATTAACCAAAGAAACAAGTGTAGAACCAATAGATGGTTGGTAACCCAAAAAGAAAGAGATTGGTTTAATAGAAGGACTTTGATCAACCAAAGGAACAAGTGTTGAACCAAGAGAAGGTTGCTAACCCTAAAGAAAGAGATTGGTCTAAACATACGGGTTGTAATCAACCAAAGGAATAGGTGTTAAACCAAGAGAAGGTTTGTAACCCTAAAGAAAGGGATTGGTTTTAACATACGAATTATGATCAACCAAAGGAATGAGTGTTGAACCAAGAGACGGTTGCTAACCCAAAAGGATATTGGTTTTAACATATGAGCTATGATCAACCAAAGGATGGGTGATGAACCAAGAAAAGGTTGCTAACCCTAAAGAAAGAGATTGGTTTTAACAGATGGATTGTGATCTACCAAAGGAACGAGTGTTAAACCCAGAGAAGGTTGCTAACCCAAAAGGAGATTGGTTTTAACATATAGACTGTGATCAACCAAATGATGAGTGTTGTACCAAGAGAAGGTTGCTAACCTAAAAGGAGATTGTTTTTAACAGACGGACTGTGATCAACCAAAGGATAGATGTTGAACCAAGAGAAGGTTTCTAACCAAAAAGGATATTGGTTTTAACATATGGACTGTGATTAACCAAACGACGGATGTTGAACCAATGGAAGGTTGCTAACCCAAAAAAGACAAAGATTTCAGGGAAGAACGAGTGATCAAGGATCGACTCTGCTGAAGATTGGAAGACACTATGGTGTGAGGATAGAAACGACTATTCTAGACACATGGTCATTCATCCCCTACCAAAAATAATCAGAATGAGGGTAGGAATTCTCCATTCTCATTCCTTCTCTAGCACTCAAAGCGTAGTGCAAGAATTGAAAACAACAGAGTAACAGTGCAATTTGTATAGTGCTCAAATGCATTAGGCAGACGTCCGACTCAACAGGATTGATAAATAAAGGCTCTAAGGAGATCTTAAAGAAGAAAGTGGGGTAATTAATCAATCGAAAGAAGGCTTCGATCAATCAATCAAAAGGAAAGAAATGTAAATAATCTTTCAAGCAGATTGAAAGATCATCAAAGCAAGCATGAGAGATGAGGTTAAACAAGATTATATTTTCTCAAGGAAGAATAAATCTAATGCACCAAATGAATTGCTAAGCATTAACAAGAACAAGCTAGCATGCATTAATAAGCATTAATCATGTTAACATATAAGCAAGAGCATATGAAAAATGCCTCAAATCATGTGATAAAATTGCAAAGCAACATGAATAAATAACATCAAGAATGCAAACATTGACATAATTGACAAATCGTGCAACAAAGATTCACATACGTACTCTAACCGGAGGCTAAACAAATCAATAAAATCCACAAATATCAAATATGTCAAGCCATGAAAGTTAAATGTGGAAAGGAATCAAGATAAGCACAAAAACAAGCAAGGAACATCTTCTGCAACAGCTGTAATCGA